TATGAGATTATTAAAAAAATTTAAAATTTCGAAATACTAATGTGCTAGAACTGGAGTTTGAAGGACACATGTTGGCCAAATGCATCTTTTGAGTGGCACATGTAGATCAAATTTTCTTGCTTCTTGAACATGGACCGTTGGATCTTTCTTAGAGATTCACTGGGTGGGCACACGAAACACATATCTCAAGGCCTTATATGACCTTATCGAGAACATGCTCCTCGGGAGCATGCAAACAAAAAGAAAAATTATTCATTTAATGTATACTTCAGATAACAAAAGCGTTGTACGCATTACAATTTACAATTTGCAACTTTCTCTTACTGATATTCAAGAGAATTCAAAAAAGAAAAGATATGTCACTTTGAAGTTGAAATCATTTTGCTGCATTTGATGATGTTACTTTGACCACCCTACTTGCTGTCTTGGATAAGAGGTCCCCCATTGCCAAATTGGCATAGCTCCAATTTTTTTTCCCTTGTCTTGTGCAGGTGGGTCCTCTCAATAATAAATTTTGAAGAACTACTACAATAAAGATTTACATGGAAAATTGAAAACTAATAACAAATGAAATAAACAACAGCGAAGTACAGCAAGTGAGAGAGTCAGCTATTTTGATGACTGAATTGGTCAGAAACCTCAACAAACCCATCTTTTTCGCTGATTTTCACCGCTAAAAGTCAGCTCAGGACACTTATGAAGAAGATGACCGGTTCATTCGCCGGAAAAGGCGGTTTTTTCCTCCTCGGCGGTCAACAAGTAAGGAAAGACCTCTTTATTGAGTGATTTGATGACATTTAAGTTGATTTCTTAATAACATTTTTTGATTTGAATGAGAGAGAGAGAGAAGCGGTCTTTCTGTTTTAAGCTATCATAACACCTTTGCAATGAATTAAAAAGCAAGAAAAGACCGAAAAGAAGAAGAAGAAGAATGAAGAAGAAGAGAGAGGGAGAGCAAGAAGTTATTATCTATCTTGATTGATTCTTAGCCATTTTCTTTATCAGTGACTCTTGACCATCACACAGTATTATTATTTTCTTTGGTCATAACCATTACACAGTATTAACAAGGAATGAAATGTGAGGTATGTGCGACGAGATGAACCTCGTAGTGTCTATACAATCAAATAAAACCCGGGCATTTAAGCTCCTACTTGGTAATAGATCAAGATATGAGTGATCTAATAATGAATGAAGATCTTGCCACTGGGGGTAAATCAAGTGTGGGAACTTTTTTATAACCAGATATTGGTTTTAATGTTGCTGGCATAATTTGATTGATTCGGGATCTCCGTGACGCGATGGGTAATGTTACCTTTACATACATCTCTTTTTAAGAGTGTCACTTAGCTTTCTAATTTGCTTGCTTAGGCACTAGATCTTTGTTAAATTCCTGGGGACCCTAATTGAATTGACATGATAATGATTGCTATCACCTGCCATGAAGATGATGAGCACATTAATTTTATCTCTAGTGGCCCTTATGGGCCAGTAATAAAAAGTTTGTGTGGATGGCCTCAATCATTATTTCAAATCACTTCAATAAGAAGAAATTTCATGGTTCTTTAGACTAATTTAAAGTAGGCATGTAATATATGTTAAACTTGGATGCTTTTGAAAGTGCTGGGCAGAATTTTATAAATCTAAAAGAATTGATGTTTGATGAGATGGCACAGCTCATTTAACTTATCTGGGGTGTTATCGTCTTCAAATCTTATCTTATAATCTATAAATACCCAAAAAATAAGGAAAAAATAGCTGTTGGTGGGCCATAACCCCATCCACTAATTTGTATCTATAGTTGTTCCCCTTGTTTTGCTGATTGGATCTCTATGAGTAGGACAGTAATTAAGGTTGCTGTAATGTAAACAAGCTGGAGCCTTCCTTCTTCTTTCTTCTCTTCAATCTGTGTTACTGTTATTTGATCAATTATTGGAGAACCTGAGACGATTGAGTTCAACCATCTTGGTGCGTCATTTTAGGCACAAAGATAAAACAAGCTATCTCTATTTTGAAATGTTGCAAGTCAACAAAATATCTAGAGGTTTCCGAGAGAGACAACATGTCAACGTATGGCAAACCCAACTATAGAGACGCATGAAAAGGAAAGGAGGGAGAAGAAAATAAACGACGAAGCAATCATAGGTCAGGCTCAGGCACATATTCTTTGAACATCACTAGATGTATGTGGGTTTTTCCTGCAGATGATATTGCAGAGACCATGGATTTAGTAAGATTCAATTAAAAGAGAATAGATTTCTTCAGAAAAAAGAAAGAACAATATGAGGATTTGGTGCTTAATTCCCATGATTTACTCCACGCAATTAGGAATTAATTAATACCCAGATAATATTACTTCAACGGAGGCATGATTGCATGCCATTTGTGCTGGGCGGGAACCATGCAAAGATTGGTTAAAGTATCTTTCACCAAAGTCATTGTATCCAACTGGAGTCCATCTTTAGCGAGACTTTAGGGTACCTGAATAGCGATTATTTAGTTCCTTCACATGTTCTCACCTAAATCATTGCTGTCTTTCGAGGCAACATATGGTGCCAGTTGAAGATCAACCCCCAAAAGAGGAGTGAAAACTTGGAAAAAGGTCAGAGAAGAGAAAGCAAAGGGCATTTATTTTGTCAATCTGTCATACAGTTACTCATAATTGATTCCATGCCATAAGGACACGCCATGTACGCATTGTAATCTTCTTTTGAGTCCTTTGACTTCATAATACCTTATCCGCGGGAGCACGAGCTGAGTCAAACATTCAAATTATAAGCGATGAAAGTCTTAATTTTTTTTTTTCGCTTCCTGAGTTCATTCTATTTTTTAGCTGATAATAACGACAATATTCGGAGAGATCGAGACAGAATATGATAAGAGATGTGACAATTCGTTATAAGGTCCTTGACGCTGCATTGTCCATGACAATCGGAAACAGCAAGCGGGGAGATATTTCGTCAACTTCGACAAGAAAACCTAAAGCTCAGTGTCCAGGAGCATGTGCTGTATTTATCTCAAGCGCTGCAAGTTGAGGCATACTATTGCCATGCATGTGGAGGCAGTCAGCATCTTACGATATGTCTTTGTCTCGCATACCGATCAATGTGCAAGGTCGATGCTCCTTTGGATATGATGGGGTCGTTCGTGTACACGTCTGGTCGGATGTTTAATGTTAACCCGATTTGTTTCTCATTTTTCCCGACTGTAGCCAGCCAATTCATGTACATTGCCCTGAAAATGTACTGCCTGAGAAAATCAACAGAATAAACTTGATTTTATCAATCGAACAATCCAAGATGGGCATTGATTTGGGCGTTTAATGTTCAAGAAAGAAAAATTCTGACAATCCTACAATGGAATTGGTTTAATCTGACCATTTATCTTTATATTAGCATATTTTTTAAATAGATCGATGAAAAATGCATATGACTGACCCGATATAAATGTCCAATTTAAAGCTTATAGAAAATTATTTGGTCAATGAAAGTATATAAAGCAGATAGGATGATCAGCAGACACAAGTGATGTGGGACAACTTCAAGGAAAGGAAACTGTTCGGTTGATAATTTGCTGTGTAGTCTCAATTGGTTTAATGCCAAAACTTTGGTCTCCGATGATCTTAACTTCTCTCTCATTTTGCGGTTCCATCCAAAACGAAGACGATATCCTCAAATATTTTCAATTTAGAACTTCGAAGATTATTAGGCTCCTCTACCGCCAAAATGTCAAAATGTTATCACTACTTATTCCAACATATCACACGATATATATATAAAAAAAAAATTCTACTTTGATGCTATAATTCCAGTCACTGATTAGGGCCAGTGTGTTACATTGTGGAACATGTGGACCTTTCCGGTCAGTTATGGGCCATATGGAACGATTGCAAGAACAACCGCCTACTGGCCCAAAACTCTTGTACTCCATATCCAAGTTCTGTAATAATTTTCGGTTTTTCTTTTGGAGTTTCGAGGTAAACAAGTTTTCATTAATATATCACATTCATTCGCACAAGAATCAGCCATTAGAGATGCTTAACAAAAGTCTAAGTTCTATAATGAGAAGTCGATCAAATCGAACATTTCCATTTTATCTTTCTCATTCTTTTGGTGAAGAAGACAGTCAAGAGACGGATTAAACCCGTTAAGGCTATCTCGAATCTCTCGATGTCCCCGTACGTGGAACTAAGACTTGGTCTGCAAAAATTAAGTCACGGGACAGTGACCCAAGCTGGTCCAGACGGTGGACTAGACATTTGTGCTAGTTTATTCATGTTAGTCATTTAGTTTGAGTTCAAAGACGTGCTTTGCTCCCAAATATATGAATATTTACAAGGTAATGGCACTGAATATTACAAGAGGGATCTACACCAGTTGCTAGTAAATTCCATTTCTACCAGGCAGGCCATTTACAAACACGCTACTCAAGTATGAGGCAACTCTTGCAGCCTTATTGGGGACGGTACCCTCCTTTATTATTTTTCAGTAGAATTATTAGGAATTTGAACATACTTTGAGTATTTCGCTCAACATTTTTCTGTTCCACTTTGACCTAGTTTACTGTCAGAGTTCATGTATAATAGCTTACAGTCCACAATCTACTAATGACCCGCAACTTTAAAGATTTTAGTGTTTACATTTAAGGACATTATTTCCTTGGCAGATTAATTTATTAACGACTTTGGCTGAATGAGTTAATTCTTCACTTCTTATTCTCCATGGACAAATAAAAGCTACGCAGACGGGAAGATGAAAATAATATTGGTAGAGGTTAATGGCACTTGCTATTTTTTTTGTTTTTCGCTTAAACTTTTTAAAACTATGTGCTTAACCGATCTCATTATTCATTTTCTCAATTAAACACACACACACACACACATATATAAGTACCAAAAAACTATAAGAGAAGACATTAGAAACAAGCCTCCGTAAGAAAATGACATTGCAAACTGGTTTGATGACATCTTTATACAGTGAATCTAGATTGCACAATTTAAAGAGACAACTCCTCAAATAATTTCATTGTCCATGAAATTTGATGGCCTTCCACTTTTGCTTCTCCATCCACTCGGTTGCTCTTCTCTCCAACATTCTCACACCTCGCGTGAGCCATTTGGGCCTTCCCATTTCAAATACAATGTATGCTATGGAAATCCCAATTACGATTCCAGATGCATAACCTATCCATACTACTTTTTGTTTGAACCAACTCTCATGCCCTTCGCGGTCGAAAGTTGACGAGGGTGATGGTTGAGGAGGTCGAGCATCGTCATGGCATGCTTTTGGCAATGGAGGTCCACATAAGCCCGGATTCCCACTAAACGAGTCACTTGAAAATGTGCTCAATTGCTTGTCTTGAGGAATTTGACCAGTGAGTTGGTTCTTCGAGAGGTTTAAGTACCCAAGGGATGCCAAATCTCCCAATTTTCTAGAAATTCCCCCACTGAGCTTGTTTGAAGAAAGATCGATCCATTCAAGAGTAGTCAAGTTGCCTAGAGTCGGAGGGATGGAACCTGTAAGGTAGTTATGATAAAGGTTGAGCCCATTGAGAGAGTGAAGATGTCCAATAACTCTCGGAATATCCCCTTGGAAAGAGTTGTGCGACAAATCAAAGGTTGTGAAGATGGTCAAGATCTTCACTAGCTGAATCTCTAACCCTTTCATCATAATTGTCACGGTATTATTATATGGTATCCGTTGGAAAAACCATGACATATACAATGATTCGTCTTGCCCATCTTCTGTATTCATCATGCCTTTAAGGTTCATTATCAAGTTGTCTGGCAATGGACCACCAAAATTGTTTTTGGAGAGGTCCAAAATTCGTAACTGCGGAAAGAGGAGAGGTCCCTTTGGAATATTCAAGAGACCCTTAAAATTGTTGGACCTCAAAACGAGAACTTTTAGCTCTGGGAGTGTTCCCAACCATCCCGGGAACGTATCATCGATTTGATTGTCACTAAGATCCAAAACTTCCAAAAATTTACATTTGACAAGGGACCGGGGCAATGTGCCTTCAAACCAATTTCGACTTAAGTCAAGAGTCATCAACTGACTTTCCGAAGAAGATGGCCGAGGAATTGTGTCCTTAAGGTGATTCATTTGCAAGTTCAAAACTAACAAAGAGGTGCTAAAATTTGTTAAGCACCAAGGCAAGCCACCTGTTAAACCATTTTCAGACAAGTTCATGATCTGGAGATTGGTGGCATTGCATATCCCAGAAGGGATCTTTCCTGTTATATTATTACTTGCAATAGAATAATAACTTGTGGAGGGAGATGGAAGTGGAATTGGCCCTCCAAACTTGTTGTTTGACAAATTTATTGCATCCAAGGCAAGTCCAATGTTAGTGAGGTTGATTCTACCATGGAATTTGTTGGATTGCAAATCAAGGTACCGCAAATACGGTGCTTCCAACCAATGGGGAAAGATATCAATAAACTCGTTGTGGCTGAGAAATAGAGATAATAAGTTCACACATTTGACTAGGGAGCGTGGTAATGGCCCTTGTAATTTATTGTTGCTCAAGTCTAGAATCATGAGATTAGTTATATTACCAATACACAATGGTATATTCCCAGAGAGATTGTTATTAGTCAAATTTAACTCAAACAACAAACTCACCTGGCAAATCGAAGAGGGCATCTCACCGGTGAATCTATTGTGGGAGGCATAAATGTAATGAGTCGAAAGTGGAGGGATCGGGAGTGACCCTTGTAATTTATTCCTGCTCAAGTCTACATGTATGAGATTGGTCATATTACCAAAACATGATGGCATATTCCCGGAGAGATTATTGTTAGACAAAGATAAATATCTTAGTGAACTTAGCTGGCAAATCGAAGAAGGGATCTCACCCGTGAAACTATTGTGGGAGGCATTAAAGGAATAAGTAGAAGGTGGAGGGATCGGGAGTGGTCCTTGGAATGAGTTTTTTTGAAGGTGAATAAACTTCAATCGTTTCCAGTGCAATTGTTGTATACCTCCCTCCAGAAGATTATGAGAAAGGTATAATGTTTCCAATGTATCATGACTTATTCTCCAAAACCATCTCGGGATCTCCCCACTAATCCTATTGGAAGAGAGGTCTAAGTATTTCAATCCTTCCAATGAATTTAAGAAATAGGGGAACATGGTCAAGTTGCAAAAACGCAACTCCAACTTTTCAAGCTTCAGAGGAAGGAGGGAGGTATTGGAGTGGAGAGTGCTACGAAAGCAACTGCAAGTAAGATCGAGACCGATGACGTTACCGATGACAGTGTCGCAGGTGACACCCATCCATGAGCAACAGTCCACGCCCTTGTTCCATGAGTTTGCCATTGGATAAGGGGCTCCGTCATACTCACAGAAAGAGTATTGTGCCGTGCAATCAAGCAGGAAGGAATTCTTAAAATTGAGCAAGACATCGCGCTGGTTAGGAGGGCAAAGGGGTAAGGCAAAGGGAAGAGAGGAATATAAGAAAAAGAGGCATACGAGGAGGCCGAGGATTTGATGCCACCCCATTTTGCAGTTTAGCATGCAAGCACAATGACTCATCGACAGTGGTGCACTTAATATATATTGCAAAGAAGTCAAAGTCTTCTTGAAATGACATCACCCGTGTCACAAATTTGGTTTTCTTGATTGATTTGGTGAGGATACTTGTTTGCGGAAAATTCTTATTTACTTGGCTCTACAAATGCACGATGCGGAAGTCTTTTCCGCTTATCTAGAAAGGCATATTAGCCAAATCTATGGTGGCATTTTTCATTTCATACGCGTAGCTGTGATCATTATTATTTGGGAGACAAATTTGGTTAATCCATTAAAAAATAGCAGTCATTTATGAAATTTTTCCTGATGGATGAGTTTGAATTTGCATTGCAGATACTTTGAATCTCAAATATCTTTAAGTTTTGATAAAGTGCTTGTCATATTTTACGGCTATAATAACTTACAATAACTTTTAGAAAACCGCCTCACACAACTTCAAGATATTTTAACTTCAAAATATCCACAAATTGCAATACTTTTTACCGCTGGTACAATGCAGCACAACTAATACTATACCAAACATGTTTTAGTATTTATTAGTTCAATTCAAATGAACATTCCATACTCGTACAACATAAAGTCTCTTGATTACTGAGTTACTAGCTCACATAATTGTCAAGTAAAATACCCCTATGAATCCACTGCTATTTGGCAAATGAACCTTAAACGTCAAATCTGTAATGATGAAAGAATTCAATGGAGGATGTAGAAACAGAGCTTGAGGGAGATGACAAAAAGTAAACTCCTGTACCTAAATCTGAGGGCGAGACATAAAAATTTTATACGATGATTTCATGAATCATGATATATATTTGATAAAAACCAAACAAAAAACCAAGTGTCCTTGAGGGGTGGCGGTCCTCGTCCCCGTCAACCCAAGAATACAATCAAGATCAACAATCACCAAATATTAGGTTTAGCAATTGTGGAAATCACTTCAGTTATAACTTGGGAATCTTTATCGTCATTTGCGGGAGCTTTCGTTTTCCTTCTACCACAAAGTCTAGTCTAGCTTTCATTTTTAAGGAAAAATCAAAATGTCTCGAACATGGCATACAACTTAAAGTCCTTGTGGAAAGGCCTGCATAATTGCTTAAGAGGCCGATGATTTGATGCCAACCCATTATTCACTTCAGCATGCGAAAGTGAGTTTATTGGTGGAGGGGGATAGGGATCCAACTAATATCGCCCTTGTAATAAGCCAATTTATCAATACGAGTCTTCTTGGAAAGGTCTGATGGTGGGTTCACATAGACTTCTAACTTCTTCTTCTCCCATCATCTCCGGTAAGACGAGCTCAGCTTGCCTTGTGGGTTGGGAGTAGAATTAAGATCCATCTCGTTTTATTTTAGAGTCCATCGTTACCTTTTCATTTTTTAGCTCTAATTTGAAAATATTGTGAAGTGCTTTAGTGCAATGAGAGGATTGAGATGCATCAATGAAAATAAATTGCAGAGAGACAGCTTCCAAAATTGATTGAAACAAGTCAAGTGCCAATTAAATTACCATTATATCTTTTTCTACTCTCAAATCTTCTCATCTTCCTAATTTCTAATAATTCTCTTTGTCCCCTCGTATGGGGCAAAGACCAGTATCCCAGTTAGATACCTCTTTCTCAAGTTAGGCTTTTTTGCTTATTATTTTTCCAGTTTTTTGACCAGTTGTTTTTCCTTTCATTTATCAGGGCAAACATGAGCAGCATATGAAAGTCAATCTTATGTGCATGATAGTTTATATGTTAAGATTATTATGATCAATATAGGATTATCATGTCTAGAATCCTCACGTGATTGATTGTTTTGCTTTTGGCTTTGGCTCGAGGCTTTGAAAATCTTCCTGTGCATGTTATTTTGAATAATACTGTTTGGAAAGGTTACTTTAGAAAGTCTTATAAAGTCTTGGGATGTATTGCATTTATGTTTATGCGAGTAGGGGCTCCATTTTGTTCACTCATAGGGTGGCTTTTTCCTTAACGGGTATATCTTAGTCCGTTGATAATATAAACACAAGTTTTGAATTATCCACCAAATAATAGGGATTACAGGTTATTTTCGATGAAAAATTGTTCATGCCTTTTCATTTTAAACTTTGAATGTTATATAAAATCACCAAAGTATTAGTCTACAAAGATTCTGTTAGGAAATTTAAATATTAAATCATGTCTTTATCGAATAGTTTAAGCTTTTAGAACAGTGAGTTGTGGTCCCACAAAATCTTATAGAATCAATCATAAGCGAATTGTTGTTATGCTTTTCTTCACTCTAATGTGTTTGTTTCGGGCGAAATATGTTGCGCGCAATAAGAAGCGAGTATTATTTTAGCTCTGTTTTTTACTATATATAAAAATAAATATTTTGCGTGCAAGATCAAAATGTTGAATGTATTTGACGTAAACAAAGTATTTTTCACTAACATAATTCTCCAATCTTTTATGAAAAAAGTTGTTGAAACAGAAACTTAAATATGGTACAATGAAAAAGACAGTAACTGAATGCACAGTAAACTCATGAATTGAACCCTGAACAGAGAAAACAACCAACTTGATCACTCGAACAATCTGAGGAACAACATGATCATGCAAGACATCATTTCTCTCCCTTCAAATATGATAGATAGCCCCATTCCAAGCCAGCTTTAGCACAGTTTTAAGCAGAGATTTCCCCTTAGCAGTTCGAAGCACCCGTTCAAGCTCTAAATCCCATGCACCAACACTCCAATCAATTCAAAGTTGAAGTGACCATTGCATACTCCTCAACGCACGCAACATAAATCCACTCGATTACTAATTGGCAAGTCAAATACCCTTATATGTCCGCTAGTATTTGGCAAACGAATATTAAACGATAACTCTGCAATGATAAAAGAATTCAGTGGAGGATGCAGAACTAAAAACCAAGCGGCCCCAATGAACGGCAGTCCCCTTCCCTGTCAACCCAAGTGTACAATCAAGATCAATAATCACCAAAACTTAGGATTGGCAAATATGAAATTACCTTGCATTATAACCTGGGAATCTTTATCGTAATTTTCGGGAGTTTTCTTTTTCCTTTCACCACAAAGTCTTGTGAAGCTCCTTATCAAGGGAAAAGTGTCAGAAAAGTCCTAAATCTATTACATTGGTCTCAATTTAGTCAAAACATTTGATTTTTGGCAGAATT